AGTGTTTAGCTTCCTAAGTCAAATTCTGTGGAGGTAGAACTAAGGCCAGACTGCAGAGCTATGATGTTTCCTCTTATTAATGCATCCCTCAAATTACTTTGTGTCTCACCTTGTTTCTGCTGGCAGGCTACTCAGGGTTTCAGCAAACTCTAAACCCAGCTGCTGGCAAGCAGGGGAAAAAAAAAAAAACCAACAAAAAAAACCCCTATAACTAAAAAAACCCCAAACACCACAAGAGTAAGAAAGGGCAAACAAGCACTGCTGCAACACAGCTCACACTGGCTTTGCCAGACACCAGAGACCACCTTTGGAAAAACTGGGTTTTTTACAAGACAGGTACAGTTCAACTGGTGCTACTCACCGAAGGGCCAACAAGAAAGGTCACTGCCACCCCAAAAAAATCTTTGGGGCCGGTACTTCTGAAAGGTCACTGGATACCTGCCTATGAAAAACATGAGCACAGAGAAGGGTCTACCACACAACACACTGCCACCACCAAAACCAGAGACAAGTTTCTCTGCCAGCCGATCCCGAGGGCATCCAACACACACTGCGTGACGTAACACACACTGCTGACCCACTTCTGGTTCTGAAGCCTCACACATGAAACACAAATTTCTTAGTTACATTCACTTCTCAATTTTTATTCTATTTCTCGCATGGTCTTCAAATACAGTTTTACAGGTCGTTTTTTTTCTGCTACAGATACTGTTGATCTAAAAACAGATTAATGAAAGTGGCATTCCAACCTTAATGAAAATTCATAACCATGAAAGATATGTCAACATATCACTTTACAATCCTAGAATGATGGTATTGGCCTGACATTCCATAGGCTTATACAATTAACTTCTATAATAATAACAAAGTCATAGGAAGAGAAAAATGTGGCAACTCCTTAAAAGCCAAGAAATAAGGCCACAAGCATCCTATGCTGCAATGTTATGCATCCAGATAAAGTAAGTTGACTCTGGTACTCATGAAGAAACGAAACTCTCCCACCTGATAAACCAAGGTATCAGCTACTCAACATGCACTCAAAGCTGTATAAAAACTAGTGGCATTCAGCTCTGACTTACATGAAACCCCATAGCACAACCCCGTACCTCTCTCTAAAAATGAAATGATCTTGTTTCAACTTAAATACTTCGCTACCGCATTAAAAAATTGTTCACATTCTGCAAAGGAAAAAAAAAAATATATCCTGCATGTGACTGCACCAGAAGACCAAATACAGCATCTCCTTACAGGTCGCAGACAACATTACTGCAGTCTTAATGCCATTCATTATAGCTTGCCTAACTTCTTCTATGCAGCTGGAGGCTTGTAGAAGGAACTGAACTTCCTTTGTGCACCACGGAAAAAAAAAACCCAGGAAAATTAAAAAGGAAGATAAAGACAGCTGATGGCAGCAGGTGAAAGAAGCGAGGTACTGCAAGGTGTATAGCATTGGCCAATTACATATCTGGGACACCGGGACTTTAGTGAAATACCAGTTTCATGAATGATGCAACTACCTCACTACCAGAACCCATACCATGCTGATTCCATCCCATAGCCAAACATGTCAGACCTGGCTAAAAGCACTGAACTCTTGGAACATTTAAAAGTAGGTAACCATTTTAAATAATGTGTAAAAATGTGCTTATTGTGGCATTTCTTATAGAAAAGTTATTTGATACAAATGTGCAGGACTTGAAGACCCTGATTTAATCAAACTAGTACGAACAGGCTTTGAAAGATGGTGACTGTTCCAAAGACAAGTCCCAGCTGTGGGCCGGCTCTCTCCCTCTCACCATCCTTCATCCACAATCCTGTGCGAACGTTACCAAAATTAGCGGGTTTGGCAGACCACCCTGTGAATTGCTGTTTCAGTCCCAGGAGAATGATGATAACCTCAAACAGCGACAAACTGCTGTCCGAAGGAAGGATCGTTTGGGATCCGCGCCCCTTACCCAAGATGATCAGTTTCTAGCCCTGGATATGAGGCACAATAAGAAAGGTCAGTGCTGAGGACAGATTCGTTCTCCATTGTGGTTTTAGGTTATTCAAAAGTGCCGTCTTGGACCTATACCATTTCACTTTTCAAAAGAAAAAGTTACAAAAACTGGTAAACAAAAAGTTAGTCAGCATACAGCTAAGTTTATATACACTGAAATTTACAAGTTTGTCATTAAGTGACTTCTGCCACAGACCACTGCACATTTGTCCCTAACAAAGCACAAAGCTTGAACCAATGGTCATTAGAAGTGACAACGGGTCATTGCTTTATCAACAAGCATAAAGACAGTCAAAAATAGAACTGTAGCTACTTATCTTTAAATTTGCTGATTGACACAAGCAATCCCTCCCATTTCTGTAATTTCCAGCTGCACATCCTGCTCTATGACAGAGAAAAACCCTGCATCTTTATAGATACTTCTGACAGAGACCATTTTTGTGTTGAGACGTCAATGCAGAGACCTGTCGTCGACCACAGCGCCGATTGAGAGGGATTCCTCTGAGAAGCTATAAGCCCATGCAAGATTCCTTGGCACTTCACACAGGACCAGGAGAGGACAAGGTTTCTCTTTGTTAAAACAGTGTTTTCAGCAGCATTATCCTCTTCCAACAAATTACAGTCTGAATGTGTGATGGGTGATTTTCGCATAGCCCCTTCTACCAAGCTGGCTTATTGCTGGCTTTGTGCAGCTAGACCATATGAAGATCCCCACCACTACCCGCCCAGCTGTTAAGGGACTACAGTACTGGAACAGTTCGCTGTCAAGCGTTTCACAGGCTTCTTCCAAGGATAACAACATCCTTAGGAAATCCTTCCATTTTAGCAATTTCAAAACAACCCAGCTTGCTGTAAAATTCCAGGATTCTTTTATCATCTGGTCTCACTTCACAAAAAGCCCCACGGGAGCCTGAAGAAGGAAGAGAGAAACAAAACACTGTAGGAGAAGAGTTATTGTAAAAAGCACAGACATCAAATATTACTAGAGTTCCCACCTATTTTAAAATTTAAACCCAATGAAACCACTGATCCAATTCTATATGGAGCGTAGTGCTCAAAAGCAAGCAGATTTATGGCAACACAGCTGACCAGCCCCTAAAGGTGCTGCATGTTGCAGATGTCCTGTGAGTCTGAACAAACCATCTTCCCTCTGCACACCTTTTATTTCACATAAAAGCATCCTGAAACTGATGTTGGCTCAGAAAACAGCACTATAAGTGGGCAACAAATCGCACAAAGGAACTGCAAACCTCAGGTGCGCAGTAAGGCAGACAGCCAAGTACTTCCCCATATTGAAGGTTTTGGTAATTACCCACCAGTGCACACTGCCACACATAAGAAAAAGCATCATTACCAATGCCAGCGGGGGAAATATAAACATTTGTGCGTTGTTCAAGATGTAAAAACGTGTGCTCTTGTTGCCAAATTGCTCCCTCAGTTCTTTCCATTTTCTAATTTGCAGGGTAACAGCTAAAGTGAAAAGCTATCTTTTACTGACGGCAGCAGCAGAAGTTAGCTATCCAAAAGCTTTTATAATTATTTGCCTAAATCTACAGTGCCAATTATGGCAGGCTACACGCAAATACAGTAATGTTAATATAATCATCCCAAGTTTGCCTTGCATCCTAGACCCAACATGTAATTAGGAAACAAGGAATTCTGAGTGCAAGCTTACCATTAGCCTTTAGAGAGGAGAGCAGGCAGGCCATCATACTTTTGGCCACACTTGGATCCGTCACTTTTTTGTGGATATCAATCTTTATCAATGATGGGAAGTTGGCTAGAAATGATTCTGGCAACACTTCTTGCTCTTCATGGAAGCTTAGCATTATTTTCTGAAAAGAATACGGGAAGCAGACATTTTCATTCATGTTTATTAAGGGAGGCTGCTTTGCTCACGGAGTGTACCTCCAAATCAGCACGCTTGTCAACCACACCTCTGATGGTCACTTCGTTCCTTACCTACTGAATTGTTCTCTGTACTCCAGATAAAAAGGGAAACTATAGAAGCTTCTCAGACTGTCAAAGGAGGAATATAAGACTCCTTGCATGGCTTCTCAGTGACCCACACTTCAACTGAGAAAAACCACTAGCCAACCCATAACAAACAGTTTGTGCATAGGTATTCCTTTTCTTTGCATTTCACATGGGCAGTTTTAGCTCTAAGTGTCCTAACCTTCCACTGGTATTCTTTGGTTCACAGCAGCCTGGAAACATCTCTTACATCCATGTAATTATCTTAGACTACTTGCCCCAAAGGCCAATTTGTCTCTAGCTTGAAATAAGCCTTGTTGATGAGTAAAAGATGTTGCTGATCACCTAAGACCATTGCGATCACCCAGGAAGGCCTTTGGGAATGTTACATGAGACTTTTACTTCATGCAACTCATTGGAACGGAACAATTAAGTGAGGTAACACAATAGTAGACAAAGCCATATCTGAAAGATATTCAAGTCATTCCCCCTGCTGGTTACTGATTTTTAAAACCTTTAGTTTGAGCCGTCACTGGCTCAAGTAAATAAGCCACCTAACTTCGTTTCTTGTATAAATGAAAGTCACCTTCATAACAACCCAAACTAGGACTTCATTGCACAAGGAAGCATAACATTAGCAACCCTCCCATTTTTTTTCAGGTCAAGCTTAATGGCAAACCCCTCAAATCTATAAACTGCCATCTCCCAAACTCTGGCAGGGAGAGCCTCTGTTCAAAGTTACTACTTCAAACTTGTTGAGCTCCTTCAGGTTCAGAAACATGCCTGCTTCCCTGGGCTTTTCTTTATCACAGCTGTAACCGACACAATCTCATAGGAAGTGTTCAAAGCCAGTCACGTTGGCTTCAAGCACCAAGGCAAAGGTGATACCTGTTTCTTCCAACCACAGAAGTGGTACAAGAGGTAAAACAGGTTATCAAGGAGTAGCGTACAGGTGGGGCTAAGAAGCAGTTGGAGAGATGATGCATTCATCTCTTGTGATCAATAATAACTAATCTCAGGAAAAGCAGATACCAGATAAACTTCCCTGACAAGAACCTAGACAAAAATGCCAGACAAGCTCACAACAGTATGACACAAGGCAGAGGACTGGATTTTTCTTTTGTGAATCAAAACATTATATTTATCCCATGAACTTGTATTTAAGTAAACTACAGAACAACTGAACCATATTAGAAGTCAACAATTTGAATCAAATGATCTAAAAAGTACAGAAAGGAAGCTTTTCAAACCAAAGTGGAGACTGAGATTATCAAGAGGTAAGGTGGCTGTAAAGGAAACCAAATCAATCCTACTCTGTGAGAAAACTTTCCCCTACATGATCTTCAATCACCATGGCTTCTAAGCAGCTACTGAATATTCTCTACATTCCTTTATAGTGTCAAAAGGCTAAATAGATAAAGTCCCACAGCATCTATCTCAAGAGCAAAGTACAAAGAGCTCCTCTGTACTCTCAGGAACATCCCTCAAGCCCAGAGTCTCAAGAAACAGACATTATCTGGGATACTGTATGAGCAGCAGAAATTCTGGGGCAATGTACCAACAGCAAAAAATGTTCTTAAACATCTCAATGGGAAAGCTAGTTTATCAGTACAAAATACCTCCTGCTTTCTCTCTGAACTTTGGCTTTAAACTTCTGGAAAGCAAGCCCCGTTCTCCCTTACTGTACCTACTACAGCTTTACTGTGTTTAGTTTCCATTATCTTTATATGCATTAGCTTTGCTTTAAAATCTGAATTTACATATACAGTTGAAAGCACAGCACTGTGCAAATGTAGAAGAATCAAGTCATAAAAGCTATAAACTGCAAAATCAGCTCCACTTCAATAGTGGTAGTGGAGCTATTAAGATACTTTCTAGTCACACCTACCCCCGAACACTGATATTTGCTACAAGGGTGGTCTGTTTGTTTTATTTTAAAATGTACTTCACTTTTTCGCTATGAAACATGCCTTTATAAGTAGCAGCCATTTTCACAATAGGGCGACAAACATTTCATTCTATTTCCAGGAAGCTTGGCTTTGCTTGTGGGAAGATCTGTGCTCTCAGAGCCATGACCTTATAAGACTTTGTCTAAGTCCTAGTCAAATAAAGCAAGGGCACACTGCTATACACACCATTTTTGCCCTGCCCTTACCAGCTGGTGATTCCCTCAGGAGGCCCTCCACTCGTGACACCAGCCTTTGTATTCAGACAACTTGTTGGAGAACACTTTCTGGAAAGTATTCTTTCCTTCTTGAGAGGGAAAGAAAAAGGCTAAGAAGTGGTGTTTCTGGGCCTGCCTCTACTACAACTTTGTCCACACCTCCTTCCACTTACAGATGTGGATTGGCACCTCTTAGTATTAAACACATGTCTTTCCTTGACAAGAATGCATCAGCTAGAACTTTTCACAATTTCTGACAGTTCAGTGACATCATTTTTCCAATTTATTCTAAAACCAGTTCAAGATATTGATTTTTAGCACTTGCTAAAGGTGAGATGTTGTTTTGCACCACTTACAGCTGTCACACTCCATAAATAGCTCATGGATTTTAACATCAAAAACAAGTGCTCTTTAATTTGTTTTCCATACTTAAACTAATGTGACTACAGGGGTTAGGCTTACCTGCAACATGGGGAAACTAATATATCATTTTGCAGGAGAACAGAGCAGAAGGAATCCTTTATTTTCAAAATATAATTTTCTCTAGATTAAGGTGGCTTACGTTTCCTGCATTGATTACAACTAAAGTACATCTCATGGGTGTATTAGAACACACAGTTGTATATGACTGGCAGTGAATAATTTTACTGTCACCTTCTGACACATCAG